GACAGTACCGCCAGTGCTGCGAGTGTTTTTGTATTGCTGCGACTGCAATTATTTGTTGCGTACATTTTGCCTTGTAATTTTGTTACTTTGAATGTCTTTGCTGACAGCGCAGTCGGCAGCATATTTTACAAAATGCATGTTCGCGTGTGTATGTATGGGCATATATGTGCATGTATGTGTATGGATAGTTCTGTTGGGTGGGTTCAGTACGGTTTGCATTGGCATTGCCAGTGATTGTTGTGTCCATTGAACTAAATCCATTTTGCTAATTTGATTTATGACGTTAAAATTACTCGCATGAATCTGTGCCGCTGCAATTGTATTGAAATTTTAATTGTAATTGTAATTTTAATTGTATTTGTAATTGTAATTATGATCTTATTAGCAATTTATGAACAGAGGCTACCTCAGCTTTTGTGGCATTCAACATTTCAACATTTTATTTGGGCAATTAATTCATTTCATTCGATTTTGTTCCGTTCATTCCGTTCGTTCCGCATATTTCGTATTTCGGTATTAACTATTAACTATTAACGATTTTCCATTTCCATTCCCTTTTGTATTTGTTTCCAAATTTGTGGCCGAAACATCATTTCTATTCACTCTTGCAGTTACCCAGCGGGAATCGATTCCCTCAGCGCTGAATGGTAATGCCTAGCGCTGATTATTCAAAGGAAACTCCTAATTACTTTAACACGTGCATGTCATTGCGGGCAAGCGCTGAATCGTTCGATTACCTTTTCGTATTTGTAATGCAACATATCAGCGCTGACATGTTCGCTTACTTTTTCGAATTTGTAATGCAACATATCAGCGCTGACATGTTAGCTTACCTTTTCGAATTTGTAATGCAACATATCAGCGCTGATATGTTCGCTTAAATTTTCAATTTTACCTATGCTATTGATTTTTAAATAAAATACTAAAAATTTTTTTGGATGAATTATATTTTATATTTATGTTTTATAAAATCAAAATATTAATATTTACATAAAAATATATAATATATTTATATATCATATTAACTTATTTACATTTTAAATTATTTATATATAATTATTTACATGTTAATTTATTTAAATATTATCTCATTTACATATTAAATTGTTAACATATTTTCATATTAATTTATTTAAATATTAACTTATTAATATCACCATTAATATGTTCAGCTGTACTGCAGGAAGGTGTTGTTTTCGTACCAAAATTTTGAAAATCATTTTCTATAAAAGAATAAAATATTTTAATAAATGCACGATTAAAATTCCCTGTTTCATTTATACCTTCTTTTTTAAACGATAAAAATTCCTCCTTTTTCTTTTTCACCAAACATTTATAATGTCTTACAGTATGCATCTATATAATACAAAACAAAAATTATAATTATCATTTTAAATATCTTAACTTAATTTTGCATATACTTACAGTGAGTTTATGTTAAATTACAAATTATATTTTATTTATATTTTTGATTTTATTTTGATTTTAAAAATTAAAAATTGTTCACTGCACGCACTTCACTAAAATCAAAAGCAGACTAAATGTATACAATGTAGGCAAAACAAGAAATTCTTAATACTCATATGCTTTTCTTCTTCATTCTTTTATAATTTCAACCCCGAAATTGCCTATGTCGAACACAAATGGCGAAAACAAAGAAAAATAAAAACGAAGAGCTATTACCTCCTCGCTTACTTTTTCAGCGCTGGCATAATGGTGCCGCTGGGTAATTTCAACCCCGAAATTGCTTATGTCGAACACAAATGTCGAAAACAAAGAAAAATAAAAACGAAGAGCTATTACCTCCTCGCTTACTTTTTCAGCGCTGGCATAATGGTGCCGCTGGGTATAGTTGTGTGTGTTAGTGTGTGTTTCCTTTTGTCCTTACATCAACACAATTTGCAATTGTATAAACTTGTGTTGTTTTTTCTTTCGTTCTTTTGTTGTTGTTCCTGTTGTTGCTGTTGTTTTAATTGTGCAAAAAAATATAAGCTAAATGATTTTTATATTTCCTTCAAACCTTTGCATCATAAGAGTATCTTGAAGTTCCTTGGATATCATTTGAGGATTATTGTGACACACCCACTTTAGTTGCATAGACGAGTAGCAGTTAAGAACGCCATTTTGTCGTTTGGAGAGATGTTGCCTAATTACGTTATAAGTGTGTAGGCAGTGGATAAATATCTGAGTCTGAGTCTGAGTCTGACGAGACTATCACAGTGATACGGAATGTGTTCTGATGTTTCCTCTTCTTCGCAACAAAGGCTGCAGGTATCGTCTCTGGCAGTTAAGAACGCCATTTTGTCCTTTGGAGAGATGTTGCCTAATTGCGTTATAAGTGTGTAGGCAGTGGATAAATATCTGAGTCTGAGTCTGACGAGACTGTCACAGTGATACGGAATGTGTTCTGATGTTTCCTCTTCTTCGCAACAAAGGCTGCAGGTATCGTCTCTGGTAATACCCTCTCTCATCTCTCTTCTGCTGTGTTCTGGGATCCATATTAAGTGGACCCTTACTAAATGGTTATTGAAATGGTTTTAAGATAAAAACACACGACAATCAAAACATTATTAGTCATCTACTTTAAAATTCTTCTTGAATGACCAAGTAGCATTGTACATATCTTGATACTGATACATATTAGAAAAAAAAAACCACAAAAATCCGAAGTTGAAAACATATCAAACAAGGATGATTATGATGTCTATCCTTGCCATGGTGCAAAATATAGTAGACCTTAAAAAATCAATAGACATCAAAACTTGACAAAATTACAAGAAATAAGTTGAAAACTAAGAATCTGGTAAAAACCATACAAACCAAGCTATTCCAGCGCTGACGTATAGCTTTAGTATTATTGGATTAACATCAACTCAAGAAAAAGGTTTTAGGACTTATCTACCAATAAATTGTACTCACTGCAAATCAGATTTGGAGAACAGAACGCAATTCAAGCAACTTTATTATTAGTGCGATTGAGTTTATTTTCGTCATGCTGGATCATTTCATTCGCAATCATCTACAATAATTCTATGTACATTTATAAGTAATATTCACTAATTATTGTTCTTCGTTTTCGAAAGTAATTAATCTAAAATAATACATACCTCCAAAATATGGACGCCTAGGCACTACTAGCAATCTTTTACGTTTCTTGTCGCTCTGGATGGTTCCCGCCAGTTGCTCTTTAATCAGCTGACTTGGGATTTTACTTAGGAGTGCAGTACTAGTCTCAGGTTTCATTCATTGTCACATAAAGCAAAAAAATATTCATTTACTTGATCTAACACAACAATCATTTACTTGATCTATATAATACAATAAAGAAAGATTTGTTAATGTCATTCAAATAACAGACTGAAAGAAGACGTCTGTTTCATATATGTTATTTATATTGCTATCTGGCCATTCAAGTACATTTTAAGGACGTCCATATAAATAAATAAGTAATAATTTATTGATTTTTTTCTGTTTTTTATCTTGAAAGAATATTTGCATCTATGTATCTGTAGAGAACTTATGCCTTCGATGATCAATAGATCAGTGGGAACCGAATTACGAGAAATTATTTGGAAAATCTTTAATGCAATGGAAAATATTCATTTTGAAAAATGATTGTTAAACCCGGTAGTGAAAGAGAATGTACATACATTATAACAATGAGATTGGAAGAACTTGGATGCATTTTTAAAAATCGTTAAATGGTATAAATACCTACTGTAGCCAGCAAAATAAACTTCCAAATCTGAAATACTTCCATCTAAATCCATTCGATTGTGTCAAGTGCAAGTAAATAAATCTGTTAAAATTAATGTAAATTATATCAATAGGCAAGGTACCGCAATTATGGTCATGAAGCCACAATTTGTTATTGAAATTTCGTTCGATTATAACTATTTTTTTCTAGAATTGGAATACATCATTTATTTGACTTTGTTCTATTTTAGTTCAAAGTTTCCGCAATCGAATTTTTTATCTTACGATTAATGCTATGTCAAGTAACAAATAAAGTTACGCACTTGTAGCACAACATTAACAAGAGAAATATCTCCCACGCGGCAGAATTGTATATAATTTGCTCTCCAAAACTCTATTGCACTCTTTTTAGTTCGAGTTATAGAAAATTCGAGTTATAGAAGTTCGAGTTATTGAAGATTGACTGTAATCATAATTTCGCCCTATATTTCAATAGAATTTCATTTAACCAATACTAAGATCAACACTCAGGTAGAAACACTCAGCGTTATGTACCTATATGACATTGTCGCCATTGCTTGGCACCGTTAGGAATTATGTTATTATATGTATATGTGCACTGTGTGCTTCCTAAATAAATAGCATGAGTTACAGAAATTATTCCCTGGTCCAAGCAACTAAGGATATGATATAAAACACGGGGTTACATTTTCAATACTGCCCGAGAAACAAAGTCTCAAAATAAATTTACTTTACAAAATGAATGCTTCTCTTTCGCAATTTTAGTGTTACACTCAATCCAGGTAAAATCAAATTTTGTTGAAATATAGGTCGAAATAATAATTATGTAATTAATAAAAAAAAACCATAATATCTGAAAACAACACACTAACATATTTGTTATCACCCATAAGCTATAGAAAATTTTTTGAATTTTGTTGAAAAAAGCAGTTGGTAGATCGCTTTAGAGAAGCGGATGTATAATCGGTTTTTTTTGAAAAAATTAATTTTAAGCCAACATACTTTCCAGATCCATTTCCAAGTTTTTAGGACCATTTGTCACATGAGTATCTGCATTACATGGCATTCATGCAGATGAAAGACTGTGCGCATTTTATTTAATTTGTGAGTAGCATCGACTATGTAAACGTTGCAGTTTTGCAATATATCGGTCGGGCATTCATAAAGAATGTGTCTGGTGATTGCTTGAAGTTATATATTTATGCATTTTGCCTATCTGTATTATAGAGAACCAACTAAAAATTATAATTACCAAATAGGTAATCATAAAAAGTAAGTAAATAATGTTTCTTCCTATATGGGTAATAATTCCCCATATATGTATGCATATATATATATATGCAGAACTTTTTTCATCTATATGCTTAGTCATAATTTTTCTTACAATTTTATTTACAGAGTAAACGCATTTTTACTTGGTACGACGGCGTAACTAACACAAGCGAACTATTCATTGGACGTTTAAATCTAGTGACCAATAATAATGAATACGGAAAAGCATCAGCAAATCTTACAGCAATACGTGAATCGGACCAAGGCTCATATCACTGCCAAATTATTTTTACCAATCGCACACCGAGCATACGGAATAATGGCACATTCTATCATTTAACCGTGCAAGGTAAGCCAACTCGCATAAGTCCTTATATCGCTAGACAGTGCTGGACGACAGCACAACAACCACAAGCACTAAATAAGAATTGAAATATCATTCTGCACTTTTTTATCTTCCTATCCTTTGTGTCCGTATACCTTCTTATCGCCTTTATCATGGTCAGCACTGCCATACATTGTACTTCACTACACTTCGCTCCACAATACACTTCATACGTCTGAATTCAACTTAAATGCTTATTGCAGGTGGTTCACTTATTAAGATACCGCCAGTGAATCAAACGATTATGGAGGGTCAAACAGCTTTTTTCCATTGCGTCATGAAATATCCAGAAACGTCAACCGCCTCATGGTACAAAGACGGAGTGCTGCTGCAAGACGTACAGGACTTGGTGCGGCGCTCATATATGGGTCCAGATGGCAGCCTCAGCATTGATCCCACCATGATGAGTGACTTGGGTGAATATGTGTGCAATGTACGCAATAATGAGGGCGAAATACAAACGGCCAAGGCTTTTCTCAACATACAATGTAAGTTAATTTAAGTGCCTTCCGCACACATTTACATTTAAGCTCGTATACATGCAGTAGCGCACGTACTTGTGAGTTTCAACTTACGTATGTATGTGTGCGTTATGTGCTTTTGTGTAAGCATGAGGGCGTGAGGGCGTGACGGCGTGACGGCGTGAGAGTGTGTTTATTTGCATAAGTATTGTAAGTGGGAGTTGAGATGTAGTTAATATGTATGTAACACTATGTGTGTGTGTGTGTTTGCACATGATTGCATATATATCGATATGAATGTATGGTATACACGTAACAAGTACATTTATTGACCCTTTTGTCACCGTTGTTTTCGCAGATAAGGCCAAAGTGATTTATGCACCGCCAGAAGTGTATCTGCCATATGGTCAGCCTGCGGTGCTCGATTGCCATTTTCGCGCGAATCCACCATTGAAGAATTTAAGATGGGAGAAGGATGGCTTGCTTTTCGATTCGTATAACGTGCCCGTACGTATGCAAAGAATTTGTGTTTAAATTAAAGCGCAAACAAAAGGAAAATAGCTAAAAAATATTTCGATATAAATTAAAAAAAAATTGAAATTAAATTTTTTATTCACAAGAATAATAAGAAAAAATAAATTATTTTTTATTTTCATATACGAATAATTAAATTTCATATCTGTTGGTTGTGTGTGCGTGCAGGGCGTTTTTTACAAAATGAACGGCAGTCTATTCTTTGCGAAAGTAGACGAGAACCACGCCGGCAGCTATACGTGTACACCATTCAATGATCTAGGCACTGATGGTCCATCGCCCGTAATTAGTGTAATTGTATTGCGCCCGCCAATATTCAGCGTAACACCGAAGGCGATTTACATACAAAAATTGGGCGAAACTGCTGAACTACCATGCGAAGCTATCGACCGAGACGGAAACAATCGTCCAACAATTGAATGGAAACGGGTGAGCTCTCTACAATTTCGCTTTGCATTTCCTTTTGTTCATTTTCGTTTTCGTTTTCATTTTCATTTTTATTTTTATTTTTGTTTTCATTTCATTTTCATTGTTTCTCATAATCTTGCTGAATTTTAAGTTCTTGCCAAAAATGCCAATAAAGTTGGCAAATTCATATATTCAAATTCGCTATACGTAATAATATGGGCCGATGTTGAGGCTGCAGTGTGGACAGGGTATGCAGTATGGACTGGGGCTGCTAGCATTTGAAAACCAAGAGCCAACCACTGTGGGGCGTATTGCTGGCGCGCACGTTTCGTAAGGTAACCACATAAATTATAAAGTGTCATTAAGTGTGTGCACGCGTACTGTGCCATGATGCGATATGTACTTGAGCGTGTGTGCATTCGTTGGTACACAAATCCATAGACATATACATACAGCAAGAATGGCATATTGTCCTTTGCACCGACGTATATGTGTGCCAGTGCGTGATTCTTTGGTCATGACCAGGTCGGTCATGAGCAGTTTTGGTTACAAACGTGATTGATTACTTGATGCACATTTAATGATGCTGCTTTTGCTGTTCGATGACCACACAACGCACATGACGCACACAACGCACATAACGCAGTGCGATGATTTGCATTTTTATGCATGACTTCAGGTAGTCGCTTGTGTATCTGAAAGTGTGCGCCTCAGCAGTTTAATGTCATCAATTTCAACGCAAACTAATTTATGCTAAGAGCACTAATGTAAATGTGTGGAACAAACTAAACTGTAATCGTTAACTTACCCCATCATGAATGTATTTCTATGGCCTCAGCCCAGTAGTTCTCAGAACAATACCAAATATTGTATTGGAGTACATTTGAAAAGTTTCAATTATCATAGTAATTTAATAATGAATTGAACTTGCAGTGGAAACCCACAAAATTGAAATTAATTTGAAATTTTAAAAAACATTACAAACATGGCGGAATACTAACATGAACCTCAATAGTAATTGAGTAAATACTTCACACATCGTACATTATACATGTTTCCATCATTTTAGGAATATCTACTCTCTATTGTGATGCCTGATAACTCAATAACAAGGCAGCAGGCGCAAGTGTTCTGTTTTGACAGGACATGCAACACAGCCCCTTCTGGAGACCGCTCGTCTCCAGAATATAATTAAAGAATACTTAACAATTAAAATCTTAGTGCACTGTGTCTTAACTTGAAAAAGACAACCCAACAATTTGCAAAAACTATCGCAGGATAACTGTACTGTGAGTGAGCTTTATTATTACGGTTTTTAAATCGGTCGTTCCACCAATAACCTGATATTCACAAAGTGAGCAATCCCTAAGAAAGCCCACAAACCTATTATCGACGCTCACCATCCATCTTTTTATCGATTATGAAGCAACTGAGCTCCGTATACTTGTAAAGTTAACACGACTCTACAAAATGACCTCAATTAAAGCTTGT